TTAATGCTTTGATTAATGTTTAATATTAATAATTAATATTTAATGCAGATAATGATTTAAGCAAGGATTTAAAAACACACACATACATCATTGTAAAATAACATACATAAAAGTTACTATTTATCAAACAGTAAGGACTAAGACTAATAGTATTGTAAACATTCCCAGCGAATAGTAGAATATTTAAATATGAACAATAAACACTTGTATAATGCATTTCCAAATTTAATTATCGCACGGCGTCTTGGGTAGCCTATTTGACTACTTCACTATTGCAGATATAGTATATTATAGTTTATAAGAACAAACTACAAAATTAGTTGATAAATAATATTAAAGTTATTACACCTTAAAACCACATTTGTAATTTCAAAAGTGGAATACAAACTATACCACACCCATGCATAGTTTAAAATTATTATGCAATGCAATAGTTCTTAAATAATTTAGTTGCAATAGCTGTAATAATTTCTATAGGTGTGAGTAGTTCCGTACATTTTTCCAACACGAATCGTCACACATGACTCCCGTTCATCAGTCAGCCAGTTAATCAGTAACCAAAATTATAAGGCTCTTGAAGAAATTCTAAAGGTCTTCATAAAGAAATAGTTATAACTAATTTCGAGGTACTAAGAGATACTTTATGGGTAGAAAACATTTTCAGTCTAMGGTTGTTGTATAGCCTGTAACAAACATTTAATGAAATTATACACTAGGTATGATTTTTTTTTTGGCGAAGTTAATGATTTTTTTATGTATAAAAACACAATTGTGGTAACAAGTGGTAATAATATATTTTAATTTCGATCACAGTCCTGAATAATTCTGTTGAAGACATTGTTCTTCGTATGCAGTGGATCTGATTGATCTCCTTCGTATCGGCGACGAGTTATAATATTTTCACCAAAAAATATTCAAAGATTATTCTATAATTTTTACATTTTAATCACTGAAAAAGATAAAATGAAAACCAATCGATTATTTATAATTTTTTTCTGGGATCTAACGTTTTACAAAAAGTAACAAGTATYTTACCTTATCAATAAGTTACATTAAATTAAAAATCTATAGTTATGGCAGTCATTATCCAAACTGAGAGCAAAAGTTTCTAGCCTTGATTGAATTGGATGAAAAMTTAAGGGACGAGATGGAAATTTTTCAATAGCTGACGTGGTTAAAATTTAAATTAAGGAACTTAGTCAATGAAGAAATTCAAGTATTCTTCAAGACAACAAAAAAAACTTCATAACCATAAAAAGATGTTTAATAAATTTAATTGGTAGTAATAGTGTAAACATATATACACAACCTTTAACGTTGATCCTACTTAGAAAGTTGAAATTATCAATTTTTATAAGCAAAATATTTTACGTTTTAAGGAATGAGTTTATGAAGTACCACTAGCCCTTAAGAATGCAGCAACCAACAAGATATATTATTGAAATTACTCACTATAAATATATACCAAAAAATTGAGACTTTGTTGTACCAAACAAAAAACTGTTGAAAATACATTTTATTCTTGGCATAACAATAATCACCTATTAAAATTATCGAAGTAATATATTTTTACTGAATTAAGTAATAGGTGAGTTACTCTTATTATTTATAATTATTTTAATGTTTATCGTATCTGCGGATTTCGTAATAATAATATAAAGACATTTTTACAACTAAAATTAAATTTCTTACTTTTTGGCAGTGTTAACACTCTCATCATAGTTATCCTTATCCAAAACATAGAATTTGCGTCTACGGCACATTGACTGCTTTAAGCCTGAGTTATAAAATGTTATAATGTTTAATATATTTTCTTTATAACTTTTTGTTTACAAAATACTATTTATTAGCCGATCTAAATCCAAAGACGGGTTGATCGGTTGCCGAAAAAAGTATCTGTCCATAATCGCACACATTCGCACATCGTCACATTCATTGTCTTTATCTGCGGTACYTTTGTTTTGTGGTTCGTCACTATCATTTCGTAGATACAAAGGATCAATGTCTTTTATCGRGTTCAGAATTTTAATATTTTCTCTCGAGTTAGCGTTGAATGCCATTTGTATCACAGTATACTTGAAATCGTCCCAAAAACTTAAATTAATTTTATCAATTAAAACAAAAAAAAAAAATCAAAATCAAAAATCAAGACACAACATTTTCATAAAATATATTTTTTTTTTTCTTTAACATTTAGACAGATACTATGAATAAGAAAGAATTTTATTTTTACCATATAAGGTACTATAAAATTGTTGGGAAATTATTTTTAGCTTACTGTAAACTGAACTACAAAAAATAGATTCATAAATTTGAATTAGGTATTATAACAATGTTGGGCAGTATCAAATATTCTATCATATGACTTTTCACCAGGTCCAAGGGGCGTGTCCTTGTGGGAGGGGGGGCGAAGGGGGCGATCTATAGTCTTAAATGTTATCTTGTTATGATGTGCGATTCGCAGCTGATGTCGTATGTGCTTTCGCTTTAATTTTAAAGTACGCTTCTTCTTTATTTTGATTGCTTTTTAGGTTGAAAACTTGGATAAGAAGTGAAATGGACCAATGTAGATTAACAGGTTTGGCGCTTTTGCATATACACAGCGTCACAGCCAGTTTCCATTAAATGTAGACAAGATAATAGACCGATTTGCTAAGCATAAAAGAAATTTAGATTTTGTTACACAAACTATAAAATAAATGTGTATACTTTAATGAYTATGATGATTTGTTTTTAGTAAACTAACATTTTAGTGACACAAATATGTTGTAGAAGAAACTAGTCCTAAATTCCAAAGGATAAAAAAAATGGTACTACACTCAGTATCTGAATCCCATGTAAATTAATAATATTTTTACTATTTCGCCTCCCCCCCCCCTGGCCAAAGTCTGGAGACGCCCCTGATAAGTCCCCAATTTCTATGCAAAATGCATTATTTTATAGGTGCTTATTAGTTATTTTTCAGAATACAATTTAAGCACGGGGGTTTGGTCGTTTGGAGAACTAGGGTGACATGGGTTTACTTTCAAAATTAGCAGTCTCCTTAAATTTAAAACTCAATTTTTGAGTGTTGACACACAAACACAGTAAACACACACACACACATATGCGTATAATATAATATGTATGCACTGCAGCTGTTTAAACGAACATTTCGTGTAATGTGTTTGCGATAATTGTAGCTATTTGTAAAGCAGTGGGCTTGTTCATATAATCAGATGCCACATCGATGTTCGTCACGTTTTTCGCTTTGGTCTTAGTTGATACGAAACTCATTGTACATTCTGTACTATTTGGAGGTGGTATCATATTATCTTTGGCGTTTTTCAGTGCAACAATAATGTCCATGCGTAATTTTTCAAACAACATAACTTTACTCAATTTTTCAGCTAAGCGTAAAAATAATGTATTCATTATCTTTATATATTTTGTTAAATATGTCTCTTTCAATTTAAAGTATACTTAAATCTAAAAAAAAWTTTATCTTTTGATATCGCAAAATCAAGCATATAGAAAATTTACATATAGATTAAAAATCACGGGAAAAATGTGATCTTCAATGATCTATTTATGAATTTAAAAGTAATTATCATTGGTATTACTATCAACCAATTTAAAGTATAAATCGCAGACAAGAATGATACAATAATGGTAACTATTGTTTGAATTAATTAAATACAAATGTAATGTAAGTACAGTAGGTAATTTGTCRTATTTGATGAATATACCATATTATATACAATTTAAATTGTTGATGATAACATTTTTAGGTAGGTCTTAAAATAGTCAAGAAACTGCTAATCTCATTCACAGTTTCTATTGTTAATATAATTAATTATAATAATATATTATCATAATCGTCATTCGTCATACCGATCACTAAAGATATATAATGGACAATCCAACGCACGATGATAACTCCTTGTTGAACATTGAAACGCAAAAGCTGTATATTTTTTACGATGCTGCCTAGCCTGTCAGCCAACCAGGCGTGTATATAATTCTCTTCGATATTATCAAGTTTTAATCTAGATGCAACTAACCTTTTGCAAAATGTTGAACATTAGAATTTATACAGATACACATTATTATAGCTAATAACTATGTTTAGAGGACAGAGGTACTGTTTTAAATATTAATGATAAGGTAGAAACACTAAGAACTCACAKCATCTACCACCATACATGCGCCTTATAAATTATATAAATTGTTTAATAATTAAATTGTACTCACGTTACGCACTCTTGTGGTTTCATATTTGAAAACTGAAGTTTCAACAAGCTTTCAATTTGTCTTGAAGTGAAAGTTATTTGTTCGTTGAGCCCAATAACTGTCTTGCATATTATGGTACTTTGATTGACATTGATATTTGATTCAGACATGA